AATCTTTATAAATTAGCCTTGTAATTTATTAATAGACATTATAAAACACAACTAGATAAGTATCTAATAGCGTATAATAAAAAAAAGTAAGATGTTATAATTTTTTTATACTAATTTAATTTAAGTAATAGTTTACATTTATTTATTAAATTTACTTTCTAGGATCTTTTTAGTTATAAACGCGTCTTATTAACTTAGGGCAGTAACTAATAATTAGGTTTTATTACATAAACCTTCCTTAAGATCTAGATTCTAAAGTAAAATAACTAGGACCCTAACTTTTAAATAAAGTCTAGTAAAAAGTAAACTAGGTAGATTAAATGTCTATAATAAATTCTTTAAAAGTTAATTAACACTATTTAATTCTATTTAATATACCTTATTTATAAACATAAATTCCTAGACATTACTCTTAAAATGCCTAAAAAAGATATTATTAATCTCTATAACTACCTTATTATAGACTATAAAGATACAGTGCTGTTAAAAGAAGCACACAGTAACAGCAAGGTCTAAAAATACACGCAGCATATCTAATAAATACACATAGAAATAAAAGCAACTTGTAGAGACAAACTTTTAGACACTAGAGAGCAGATTAACATATGTTTACTTATCTCTAGATATAGAGAGTATCTAGTCTACATAAGCCTAATTTGCAGCTTTAGTGTGCATTCTTATGTTTTTAGTTAAAGTTAGAACTATAAAACAACACTAAAGGGGGAACTATTAAAGGCATGCTTACACTATTTAACTCTAGCTACTTTTAGGTATAACTAGCAGAATCTGCAAAAAATTACTGCTAAATACTAATAAAATGCTACTAAAAAGTAGTTTACTTTATAGTATATTATAAAAACTTTAATTAACAGCCTTAAAATATAACTAGTGCTGCATAGAAACTTTATCTTAGATAATAAAGCTAGTTTTATAAAGCAGCTTAGAAGTAGAGAAGTTTATAGTAAATGTGCAAAAGAAATTCTTTATAATCTTAATAAGTATTTTAAACCTTAAGTGCGCAGTTCTACTACCTAGAAGAAGTAGCGCTGTAATACTAGATAAAGCCACACAGAGAACAATCTTACGCTAAGACTAAAATTAAAAACATAATGTTTAATAAAAAAAGTTTTACTAGTACTACTAGAGCCCTAAATAAAAAACTAAGCATTATTTAGATCTAAACATATAGTAGACTTAATAGTATTAAACACTAATTTCTAACTGCAATTTAATTAGTTATAGGACTTAGTAAAAGTAGTATACTTAGCAATATTATTATATAACATCTGCTTATATACTAAGAAAGGAACAGTAATAAAAATTTAATTATATAAAAGCATTAGCATTTTAAATTAAAATAGTGTTTTACTATATAACTTTAAAAGCATCTAGTTTAGAATTTATAGGCTGTAATTTTATAATAGCTTAGATTTAGTAAGAAGAGAATTAATAAAGGCTATTTATAAATGTAGATTATTTAAGAAGTTAGCATAAAACATTATTTAGATAGCTACTAGATTAAGTATATTACTAAATACTAGCGCCTATATAAATATTTATTATAATAAGAAGCTAGTAGCTATAAGTTAAAGTTCTTAGAAAATATAATTCTAAGATTAGTCTTTTTATAATAAACTATAAGCTAAATAAGTGTCTTTAAACATTAAATAAAGCTTACTTTATATAGTACATAGGTTACTAAAGCTAGTTGCCCTAGAGATATAAGTTAACAACATTTACAAATAAAAGCGCTCCTCTACAGACAGACTACAAAAATATATACACTTAATAGACATTATAGTTTTATAATACTAAGTCTAAGCATGTGTAGCTAAATTTTACTAGTAATCTATAAAAAAGTCCTAGTATAGTAAATGTAGCTTATTAGTGTGCTAGAAATTATACTAAAACTACATTATTAAAGTTAACTAAGCGCCTTTTATACAACTATGTACTACATCTATGTTGTTATTATCTTAAAAGAATACTACATGTTTTTCTAGCAAATAAATTGCTAGACAAACTACTAAAGGCTACTTCTTATGTATAGAAAAACTAAACAGTTGCTATGCTACCTTAGTAGAGCTAATATACTAACACTGTAGGTAGGATGTAACCTTGTCTTAATCCTAGATATAAACAGTAACCTAGTTAGTGCTCTTATATATATACTTATAAATGTATTTAATAGCCTTAATAGATGCGCAGACTTTTATATTAACATGCGCATTATATTACCTAGATAGGAACAAACTATAAAAAATAATCTACTAATTATTAACTATAACTTTATATTGTTTATACTTAACTATCTAGACTTAGCTATTATTTTACTAATAATAAATTAAATAACTATTCTTCTTTACTATAGTTTTTATAGTAAAATTCTTTAAAAATCTTTTTTAGTAAAAAGGCTACTCTAACTTAAGAAACACCTGCATGCAGCTAGTAGATAGATTTAAGTTGCTGTAAAGACTGTGTACTATAAACTTTATAATAATATTAGTTAGAATACTATTAGAATTCTAGAACTGTGTTAGACGCTTAGCCTATATAACATAATTAATAAAATTAGGCAATAGAAGCTAATCTCTATTATCTAGGTGCATAAAGAGTAGGATGTAGGCATAGAGAAGTCTCTACTTTTAATACTTAATTATATAAATAATGCTAGTAAAGCAACTAAACACTTGCTATAACTTAATATCTTTTATTAAAAAATCTAGCTGCAACTTAAATATTTAAGTAATTATATTAGGCTAATCTAAAGCACACTATAGCTAGTTAAGTTCTACTATTATCTTAGGCTACTTAGGATTTATAGTAAATATAATAAATAAAAAAAAGTGTTTAAGCTTCTAGATAATAGCTATAGAATTTTAGTAACACTAAGATATAAACTAACTACTACTAATGTAACTTAAAGAGAGTATAGTATAAATACTAATAAATTATAGGTTAAAATTATTCTAGTGTAAAGCATTACTAATGCTCTAATAGAGATCTGCTTAGAGTTTTAACTAATTATTATAAACCTAATAAAGCTTTTTTTATTTAACTTATACCTAGTAATTTATTATCTACTGTTAGAATAATTAGCTATAAGTAAAGAGTACTATGTTATAACTCTTCTAAGGAAATAGATAGAATTAATAAAACATAGTATTAGTAATATAAAGATTTTTCTAGACTTTATTAGAATTATGTAGCATAAGCCTAAAAAAGAATCTAGGCTAACTAGTAGAAAACATAAGAACATAATAAAGAAGCTAATAGGTAAGATAAAAAGAATAGACTTAAAAGTAAGATTAAGTAGAGTTATTACTATTATAATAATGCAAAATTAGACTATAACTTATACTCTTATTAAAATTCTTTATAATTAAGCTAGTAACTTTATTTAAAACTAGCAGATTTTTCTATTGTTAGTTAGCACTAGCTTTAATAATAAGCTTTAATTAAGAGTTTATAATAATTTAAATATTTTAACTATTACACCTAGCCTTCTTTAGTCTTTTATAGGCAGTTTTATAAATAGAAATTTATAAATTATAGGCATCTACCTCTAATATATGCATAAGCTTCTATAACAAAGTTAGGTCTAAGTTTAAATTCTAGTTACGCTGCAGCTAAGTACTTAAAGTAAACTTTAAGTTATAAAAGTATAACTACACGTAGCTAGCAGTAACTCTCTAAGCAAGCTTTAATAAACCTTATAAGTAGTAAAGTTCCTCTATAATCTAAAATATCCTAACACTATTCCTACACATGTTGTGATCTGTAGTAGTGTAGTTAGTAGAAGTAAAAGCTAGAAAAGCATTATATATATAAATATTATTATAAAAATATGCACTTTTTATATAAAAACTATTTAATAAACTTTAGATAATAACTAGTAAGTTTTAATAAAACTTTAAATAAATATCTTTTTAAAAGCAGTAGAGCCTATATTTTAGCTAGCTAGTAGTAGACCTAGCTAAACATTTATTAATCTAATAATAAGCACTACATTTTGTACACATAGCAGTAGGATTGCGCATTAGGCTAAGATTAATAGGCAAATAGTAAAGTACACTTATAATATATACAGCTAAGCATAGTTTTTTAGTATTAATTAGATTAAGCTTAAGAAATATAAAAAGCTAAAAAGTAAATATAATTAGAGTATAGTAAGACATAGTAAATAGTAGAGAAGTTAACTAAAGTTAAAAGTTTAAATAGATAAAAAAAATAAAGGTGTAAAAGTTAAAGTAAACTAATTAATATTTAAGTAAATAAAAAAAAAGTAGGTGTAAATATTAAAAAAATATAACTAATTAAGACAGAATTAAACATATTTAGATGCAAAGAAGTAGGAGATATAGTTTATATCTATTAGTAATAAAAAGATTGTTTTTTATAAGCATTGTACTATACTCTTTGTATTAGTAGGTTAGAATTAATTTTTTAAAAAATGTGTTATTTTTTTTAGAATAATTTAGCAATAATAAAAGAAAAATAAAGATATAGACAAATAAATCTTCTATGCTACTAATAATGTTTATACAGAGCACTATGTTAGTTAGTTGCAAAGTTAGATAATAGGCAATAAGTTTAACATTCTTTATAGTAAGGCTAGGAAGACATACTAAGCCTAAGTAATAGTGTTAGCAGATATCTACAAATATCTAGCTAGAATTAGACAGATATAACTAAGAAAAGGGGACAGTACTAGAATACAGACGCTAACACACTAATTCTAGCTTAGTAACACCTTAAAACTGTAAACAGTAACAAAGGGGTAAACTTTAGCCTACTAATAACAGAACATAGCATTATAATATTGCATTAAAACACTTAAAATATAGTAATAGACCTAGTAAAATATATTTATTTGCCTTAAAAATCTAGAATATTTATAAAAGTAGTAGAAAGTTTTATAAGCTAATTAGACATTAATCTAGCCCTTTTTTAAACTAATAAGAGAAAAGGCTTGGCAAGATGTACAGTGAATAATAGAGATGCCCCCGCCACCCTTGCATTCATCGTCAAGCAAAGCTACGGAACAAAGTAGCCGTATCATATGGGCTCCATCAATCCCCTCCATCGATTGGAGCGAGCTACATCAGACCATCTCTACCCGTGGTATCTTGGCACAAGCGTCCAGGTTCAGGGAGGGAAAAAGCTGTACTTTCGTTTTTGAATCTGATACGAAACCGTTTTCAGGCAGCCAATCCATTATTTTTGTGGTTGGGTACGCAGACAGCATTAAGTACGCATTTCGGCTCCCTTATCATCTCAGAAAATCTAAGAACCGCGACCGCCTCTTATCCAATGAGCTAGCACAATGGGAGGCTTTCATACAAAGCCGCATTCCTCTGGTACCCCGAGTGGTTGGTTATAGCTTGTCGATTGACAATCCAATCGGCTTCCCTTTCATTGCCTATGAGTGGGTTGAAGGAAAACCACTGGTTTGGAACGACTATGAAACCGCAAAATACAGTACAACGGGAAAAGATAATTAAGAGCTTAGCTGTTTCACGATTAACACAGCCTGTCGGTTGCAAAAGCCGGGTAGGTCCCTAACTTATTATTCCTATTCCGGTTAATTAAAGAGAAGTAGGAAAAACAACCGCTGAAGTCTATGTCGCTGAGGCGATCGACCGTAAGATCAAGCGAGTCCTGAATGGACAGCTCCGTACGGCGAAACTTGTGGACTGCCTCCGACAGCGAAGCCTTATCCGCAAGTACATGATCCCCGAGCTTGATAGCTCGCCGTGGGTTATGGTTCATGGAGATCTTTCCGGGACAAACATCATCACAGACACCGAATATAATGTTTCTGGGTTGGTTATATCTCCATCGACTATTCTACTGTTAAAGCTGACATAGAATTTCTAGAATTATCGACTTGGGCTTCGCCGAATATGTTCCATTACAATTTGCAGCATTTTTCCCGAGGATCCTCGATCACCAATCATACCAGGATCAAGATGATATTGATATTGCGCCAGAGCTATCCGATGACCCTGAGTCCTCACTGGTCTGGCGGAGTAAAAACTCCGAAACGCCGCGATCGCCAAATATTTCTTGAAACAGTAAAGAGCCTGTGCGCCACGCACGGGGAAATCTGTCAATCTTTCTACCGTGTCCTTAACTCGAAGGAGGAGACCAGGCGTTATTGGTGGTTCATGGCAATCAGTAACCAAAAGTTACACCAAGTCATGGTAAAGGTGAATTGGTTACTACATGATGCGGAGTGGGTGGATGAGAACCTCTCAAACGAATGGAAGCTGTTTCAATTGGCGAATCCTTCGGTAGTTTCAAACAGCACTAGCGATCTTTCAGGCTTCTCGTAGCGAGAGTGTGCAGCTAGAAGCTAGGCAGACTTATCTGTGCAATATATACGGAGTGGCCCTATTTTACGCTTAGTGGCGCCCTCGTAAAAGGTAGCAAATCTAGGCAGAAGTTTAGCCAGGGCTAAAGGGTGAGTGAAGTACGAATTCTAGACCAGAAGTTCCTAGCTGATGCGACAAGGGTGGTGCATAGCACATATTCTTGAACGTGCATATAGACCCCAACAGCTGCAGATACTAACTCCCGTTCATCGCTCTTCTGACGCATATTTGGGTCCATGATTAGATACGCCGCTGCTACTCCAGGCTGCAAAGTTGCAGCGTAACACCCAAAACATGTTCTGCTTTTCATTTACCTGTGACAGTGATATATCTACACCAATCCCCTGCAGAGGTATATGGAGTTGGACATTGTATAGTAGCATGTTTAGGAGGCGTAGGGGCTAGGCTAGATCGAGCCGGTGCTGTTCGAACGAGGCGGATGGCTGAGACTGATGCTGTACGTGATCTCGCTTAGCCAGTTCTGCCGGGCGAGAGATGGCCCCGGGCCCACTTCCTGCGCCCATAGTGTTGTTGTTTTAAGGTGTAGGAGGAGGTAGGATAGGGAAGGAGAGTGGCGGCAGTCTTCCTGAGACGAACTGCTGCTGTAAGGCAAACAGGTGCCGCGGGTCCCCCGAAGTCCACCATCCCAGTGCCTTGATATGGTCCTCGCTGAGGCTATTGTCGTGCGCCGTTTGCGCGGCTCCCCGGCGGAAGCTGTGGCCCTTATACCTCTCCGGCATGGCGATGTTGCAGCGTCGTAGCTGATTGCGTAGGAGCTGGATAACATTCTGCTGGGAGAAGGGCTTCTCGTGTAGACAAAATAGCGGCGCGTTTGCCGGCTGAGGGTTCTGTCGATACAGGTTGAGAAGGTGCGTCATTGGGCAGCAACCATCCGAGAGGAGGCGATTACAAGCTGGACACCTGCGTTGGAGGTGTCGGCTGTACTCCGCGGTAGGAACAGCCGGTAGTGATTGAGCGATTGCGAGATCGCTACGCACCGACGGGTAGGCTTCTCTACGGCGAGCTGACGCTCGTTATGTAGTTGCTTAGGGATGTACGTGAACTCACCCATCCGCAAGAAGCCGGCGAAGGCCATCGAAGTCGTCCACGAAGCCGGCAATGCGGGCGGCGAAATGCTTCTTAGGCCGAAGGAGTAGGGCGGTCATTTTTGCCACCCAGACTGATATTCTTAGCGCCGACGTACGGGGTTCTAGACGTGGAGAAGCGCAGGGTCGGGCCGTGAATGTGGTCGTACGTCGCTTCGGAGCGTGACGTGTGAAGCGTGTGGTGATGCCGACCGAGGAAGCTCCATGAACCCTGGAAGAAGTGGGTGCCAAGAATTCGGCTTCGAGACCCTTTCGTGCCGCAACTGCGAGAACCGGTCACACCGCGACGGCCGAGTTCACCCACCTTGGGCCAGACGGCACCCTCGTCACGAAAGAAGTCTCTATCCGAGTTGGCGACCCTAGGGAAGCCTATGTGTTGATTCCCACAGAAGTTGGCCATGCTCTGCAGGCTGGCCGCTGCCTCACTAATAGCTCCTCGGCTCTCCCCACGCGCCTGGATAGCCGCTTGCTCACGTACAAATGGTATTCCATCTTTACCGTTCAACTCTAGGTCATCACCTTCATTAACGGCTAATAGGCCATGTCTTGAGTTGTGGAGGCCTGCCGGGACCGACGTAGTGATAAAGTGGGTGAGCTTGGGGTGTGTCTCCGCGATTGCTAGAAGCGCCAGAGTCTCTTCGTTCATCCCTGCTAGATAGATGTTCAAGAAAATTGTTTCGAACCCCATCATCACAGGAGGGAGATACGTGGCCGACATGATACATTTGAGCCTATTAGAATTAATAACAAGTGATCATCGTCAAAGATATGGATGGATCACCATGGTCGACAGTGATCCTGCTGTTATGCCTCGAAAACCTCCCCTTCCGTATCATGTCAAGGCTCGGCTACACCAGACCCCTCGGGTTTGGTATGAGAGTTCGAGAAAATAAAGTGCGAGAGAGAATTAGAATCTAAGGATGTCAGCTTATTTCCTCGCGACTCTCCTAAGACGTCAACGCTTTTCCCAAGCAGGGGCATACAGTATGCCGCAGGCGGAATGTTAGTCTACGGTAGCAAGTCCAAAAGACACGTAGATTGAAAGAACTCGAGCGGCAAGTGCACTGTTGGTGACTCACGGATGTCTGGTGAGGCTGAGAGAGGATGTGTTCAGCTAGTGGTGGTTTGCGCTTGCGGGGCCTTGACGAGCCTGATTGGACCCTAACCGAATTGTCGTGTGCGAAATTCGAAGGATTCTTGCCAATGCTAAGTAACCACTTGCCACTTTCTACTTTCCCCTATAACGAACGTTTAGGAGGGATGCTAAGGTCGAAAGTTGGACAGCAGAGCCACTTTCGGGCAACGCGAGCCAAGTAACATTAACATTCTAGGCACAGTTCTCCAACTCGTTTTTGCCAATGCGCGCCTTGCTTTAGCAGCTGTCTCGAATTCAGTAGGTTTAAAGAAGCCCTCTGTTCCCTAGGTTACTCGTTTGCTAAAAAGAATCCCAGGTTTGTGAAACTAATCATAGCATCGTTCAAGATAAACATCGTAGCGAAACGGAGAGTTGGGAGCATTGCGCCAGAGCCTGAGTCTATTGAAGATGAGATGAACTTCATGTGCGGATCCGTACCCTGATATTGCATTCTGGAAAGGCAATGTGCCAGTAGATAGACTTGGGCTTAACTTACCACATGTTCAAGTGGATATTCCATCCTTCAGTGTCGGATGGTCTAAGGTGTTCTAGAAAACAACGCCAGCCATCAATAGGCTGAGGCTCAACGTACCACCTATTTCGGCGCATATTCCAGAGACCCCAAGAGATTGTGCCTGCGGCTGAACGGCGATAGAGCACCAACATTTACCCAGTATCTCCTCGCGTTCAACATGACCAATTCGAATTATTCGGACACACTCACTTACCGATAAACAATATTTCCAGATCCCTTATATTCCCCTTCTCTAGTAACCCAATCCTAGACCCCATTCCCCCCATTTTTCGAACCTGATATAACTCCTCATTAATACCCCTTAGTGCTAACTATTCCAAGTTTCCCTCGGGCAAGGCTCCCAGTTTTCAACAACCTGATTTCTCCGTCTTCGCTAAAATGGGGCTGAGGTCATTTGCGAGAGCAAGGGACGTGACGGATGGTGTGTTCTTACTCGCTTCAGTTTCTGTGTTAGGGTTCGAGTTCAAGTTGTTTGGGTATGCGGCGATGTTTCATGATGGGAAGTTATAGACGACTTGGGCTAAGCGAATAAACTGATGGATTTGGATATATGCGACAAGCTCATGCCTTCAATTGCCCTGACTAATAACAAAACGGGATCCGGAGTTGTTCTGCACGCTGTCCCTCCCAGCCGCGACCTTGAAGCATTCCTCAATGGGGAGGATAATCGTAGGGCTGGGCATGTAGTCGAAGGGGTTATACTAACAGCTCCAGCACTGATTTCTTCGGGGAGCGGGGTATTGCTCTCATAGCCTCTGGGCAAAGGTTTCCACAAACCGTATTGTCATGCTACCACCACCTTCTAAAAAAAGATGATGGCATCCAAGCGAATTTGATTCGTTTGGCGAGTTCGCAGAGCTCGTGCTTCACACCACCCTTAGCGTAAACGGGTCATTGACGCGGGTCTTGTGATAGGTGCAACGTTCCTTGCTAGTTGTAGCTTAGTTTCTCGTACCGTAGCTGCACCTCCCAATCCAGCATATGCTCAATTGTCAGAAACTTCGAAGCAAACCGGGATGCATACGGAATTCTTATCATGGTATAAAATACTAGCGTACCCAACTGTGAGGGGGAGATCCTATGAGCAAGGTCAAAGATGGGGTGGAACTCGTTGCTGAGCACCTGCTCTGACTCGATTGGTAGGGCGTGGAGGTTGCCTTTCTTGCGGATGAAGATGGTTTCTGGGTGTCACTCGATATGCCAATCTGATGTATATGGAAGCTTAGCTCTCTCAGAATGTTGGCGATAAACTTTCTAAACCCCGTTGAATATCGTATTCCGTTATGTAAGGTTGTAGATCAAATAAGGGGAAGCAATGCAGATTAGAATGAAGTAGAGATGAGTAGGTGATGCATGTCGATCAGCACAATGGTTGCTCAGGATGGTTGTAAGAAAAGTAGGGGCGGTGCATTACCCTTCGAAATGATGACATTGCGTAGAGCAAGATCTCACTCACGGTAGTACTATAATTTCGCCTTGAAAGGCGCAAAGGTCGAACCCTGGCCACCCCCCAGCGCATCGACAACCTCGTCCACCTTCTCCAAAGCCCACGTGCAGCCTTCATCGGTGGCCAGCCAAAGCAGACCCTCCTCCTCGCCGACATTCGGCTCGTCCTTCCACGTGCCATCCTCGAACGCCTTTCTCAGCCCAAAGACATGACTCAGCACCTGCGGACCCACACCCTGTTGTGCTCTTAAACAAGCAATCGCGACCAAACTAGTGGTTATCCGCCCGACGTTCGCTCCAGTTTTCCGAGGAGGGTCCGTGAATAATGCGCCATATTCGCCACTAATTATGAAGACGGGGAGGTCGGGGTGGGCGTCGGCGAGCTTAGCCTCCAGCTTGTTTTCAAGAGGTCGGTATATCGAGTTCCACAACCGGCGACCACGATTGTTTATCGAGTCGACGTTCGAGGGTGTGGGGAAGCGAGTCGGGGTAGTGGAGAGCGAGGAGACGACCGAGGACGGTAGGGCGCCGCGGAAGGCGTTGAGCATGTTTATTGTTCGTGGGACCTGCCGCAATCAGCCCAGGCAGCTTCCTTCGGAACAAAAAAAATTGACGTACCCCATTAAATCCTATACACTTTAGCCCGACCTCTCGCATAAACTCTGCGATTGCAACGCCTTCCTCCACTGGCTTCGACGCGCTGGCCACTTTGTATAGGACGAGCATTGAGTCTGGTGAGTTCATGGTCATGGTTGCCGCTGTTGAAAGAGCTAGCCATGACGGTCTCCCTACTCTCCTGGCTATGGCTTCGCGCTCAATCTTGTGGAATAGCGATTCTATATGCCGTGGTGCAGGCACTGGGCCAGGACGGGAATGGGCGGCATTTATAAGGGCCTTGAGGCTTGGTGAGAGCTTCGGCATGGAGAACTAAGAAGCGGGAGGCACCAATATATTCCAAAGTTCACGAGCGAAGCAACGACGCTTAAATGAGGCCGGGCTGCTATATTTCTGCCAATTGGGGCTAGGTGTAGGATGTGGCCCCAAATGTGCACGGTATCGCACGCGTTAAGCTAGAGACGTGTCGGACTCAAGGTAGTGTTGCGGGGCGTTGGCGATGACATTATCGAAGTGCCGAGGTGCGGCTAGTTCCGCGCAGGTGGGTCTTCACAGTCTGCTTGATGTCTTGAAATACTCTGCCATTTTTGGCGGAGGGTTGCAACCTTAGCCAAACTGTTAGCGTTGGCATATCGCTCCAAGAATCCATCAGCACTTCATACCGTTGAGGCTGAAGCAAGCACTCCGAGTCGCAGTGTCATGGCGCGCTAAGCTTAATCGAGCTCGCATCACCCCTCCGATCTCGGCGCTTCGGATAAAAACTCCACAATATCACTCCGAAGTGAATGTACTCCCTGCCATCACCACCAGTCCTCCTCAACTTACAGGCCCTTGTACTAGGATCTCCTTTTGGTATTCTGTGTTTCTCGTCGCTATCATTGCCCCATGCTCGTCAACTTTCCGACAGCTTCGGCTGATCTACTAGCTTCCAGCACCAGCCCCCATCAAAAGGTGCATCTCAAGCCATGTCGCTTTCAGCAAGTCGTCGCGTGGTATGAGAATTTTGGCGATTTCCTTTCGAATGCATTTCGTCTTTCCTGAAGTATTCTGTAGTCAACATTCAATCCTGTGCTGTTCTGGTCGAAGCACCACTGTGATCCCACCGCCTTCGCTAATAGGGTAGTTCATCTCCCTCAAACTCATGCCAAGTACAGACTCAACATGGCCTATTTCCGCAGATTGCACGGCTATCGGCACTTGTCAACTAGCTTCCCCTGCTGTAAAGTGGGACACCTCAACCCGGCTAACGATAGCAAACTTCTCCAAGATCTCCATAAAGAAGTAAAATGTCGCGCAGCTTGTTAATTTATCCATGTCACATTCTCCAGACACCCGCAGCCACTCCTTCCCCCAGCTGCAACAATGGCTTCCGCAGATGCCATTGGCATCCACGACCAAACGAACCTTCTGCCGAAACGTGAATTGGTCATTGTTTTTGTGGCTCTTGCCTTCGGTCTCCTTGTTACATTTATTGACCAGAACTCTATCGCCATTGCTTTGCCAACCATTGGGCGAGAGCTAGACTGTACTTCAACAGTGGAATGGGCGGGTACTTCATCGTTGATTGCCAACACAGCTTTTCAGGTCCTGTACGGCCGCTTCTCAGATATATTTGGCCGTAAAGTCATCATCATCGCCTGCCTGCTTCTTCTCGCCGTAGGAGACCTCCTCTGTGGCTTTGCTCAAACCGGGCCTCAGCTGTACGCGTTTCGGGGCATTGCAGGGATGGCGAACGGTGGCATCATGGCCTTGTCTATGATGATAGTATCAGATGTCGTTACTTTGGAGGAGCGTGGAAAGTAAGGAAGCCTCCCAAAGAGACTGTAGCGCACTGCTAACGTCGCAGCAGGTATCAGGGCATTATTGGGTCCTGCGTTGGATTAGGTAACACTATCGGGCCATTCATAGCGGCTGGCTTCACCCAGCATACATCGTGGAGGGACACCTTCTATTTGCTCTGCCCGCTTTCGGTCCTTGCTGCCGCCGTGCTGTTCTTTAGACTCCCTCCCCAGAATATGCCCAAGGAAGACTTCCGCGTGACGGTGGCGAAGGTCGACTGGGCGGGCATTATTCTCGCTTCCGGCGGCACTGTCCTACTACTGATCCCCGTGTCCGGTATTGGGTCCCAATTCCATCCTGACAGCCCAATGGTCATATCTATGCTAACTCTTGGCGGCTTCTTTCTCGTGGCGTTCATATTCAACGAATGGAAGGTGGCCAAATTGCCCATGATACCTCGTAAGTTAGCCTTGTCCCTACTCGACACTCGACCTTCTACTGATGTGAGAAAGTTCGTCTATTCAAAAACGCTCCTCTAGCAGCTATGTTAGTGCAGAACTTTCTCATTGGCATTGTTTGGTACCCGGTTCTCTACTTCATTCCTGTATACTATCAGTCAGCCAGACAATTGTCTCTCATGACCTCCGCTGCGCTGCTACTTCCGATAGTGATCGGACTCACGATATCTTCTACGTCCTCCGGCTTCTACATTTCACGGATGAACCGCTATGGGGAAGTCATCTGGACTGGATTCTTCCTATGGACTCTCATGGCAGGATTGCATCTACTCTTCGGCCGCGATACACCCATTGCAACAATCACCTTCATCCTATTCCTGGAAGGCATGGGCGTAGGATGCGTTTTCCAGCCGAGTAAGTCAGGGCCTTCGTTTACGTATGCGCAGACTACTTAAATTACATATAGTCCTGATTGCTGCGCAAGCTCATTCGACGAAGTCCGATCGCGCGGTAGTAATCTCGGCTCGGAATTTCATTCGCTCACTAGGCGGAGCCGTTGGTCTAGCCATATCTTCGGCCATCTTCTCCAATTCCCTGCAGTCACACTTGCCGCCACACCTACCAAGGCCTGTACTAGACGCTGTACACAAATCCACTTTCGCGACGCCGAACCTCACGAAACTAGACTCCGCAACGCATGACCACATTCTCGATGCGTACGCTTCGGCTTCGAGAAGTGTGTTCATCATGTGGGTGGCGGGCATTGGTGGATGTCTCATGCTGATGGTTTTCATTAAAGACAAGGGTCTACAGCGCAAAGAAGAAAGAGTCGATACAAATATCGAGGTGGGCGAGACAACAACGGACACGGACGAGAAAAACACTATTTCGGGCGGGAACGGTGCAAATATTAAAGTTTAAGTGCTCGCCTTCGCGTTCGGTAATTGCCATGGTCTACGAAGTGCTCCATCTGCCACCTACTATGGAGGGCCAATTGACAGGTCGTATTTCCAACACACAAGTATGTGTGACACCCGCCAGATTTAAGCTCATCTGATCCTCACATCAAAAAAGCTTGTCTGCGATCGAAAGCGGCCGCGCCCGCACGTGACACACGCTCCGAAAGCGCTTTGTGATCGGGAGACGCTAAACCAATAATCTCGAGTATATTACATTCAACCGGGGCACATCCGGCACATTACAATCCTACCCGCTATAGTGCCTGCTCTCGCTAATGTTACTACACGCTCGTACATTCACCTCAAAAATGCCACCGTAATAATTACACGCAAGCAAGTGTGGCCTACTTTTGCAACGCAGCGTCGAGACCATTACCTCTTGGCGACAGCGGTTACAAGACTTCAATCGTGCACTCCTACCTAGATTAAAGCAAGTAATATAGCGAGGATTCTCGAACAACCTTATACCCGGTTACTCGAATCTGGAAGAATGGAAATCCTCCGCCACCAACCAGCAGCCACCACCCCAATAAAACGTGGCGTCCATGCTACCTGCTCCCCGCAGATATTCATTTGCACGGAGACGCACTTGCGTATCTCCAAATTATGGGGAAGGTTGTCAGGCACCGTAAGAAAATTTCGGACTCTCACACATCTGATCAGGATGATGTGACGGCTCGCCTTTAAGACCAATTCATCCGGCTGCATTTGTTCTGGCCCTCTCTCATACTTAACTTTTAGGTGCCGCTGCTATCCGTATTGGAAAATTGGCATGACTTAAGTTACCCGGTACATCCTTACGTCCTGCAAGATTGCCAGATCCCCGGCCAAGACCGCCATCTTGCTGACATGTCGCTCTTTCTTTCCTCCCTCCTCCTCGCGGCGTCGCTTCTCCCGGCGTCGCAAGCTAGAACGCTTTTCAAGTACGAGCGAGTGCAATTGACGACAGAATATCTCCAAACGCTTCCGGAAGAGGATGCGCTACTGTTTGCATTTGAGAACACCTTCGAGGCGGCGGCAGTCAATAAAACAGTATACCGGTGTCGCTATTATCCAGGAGACGGAAAGTGGCCTTCGGAGAAGGCATGGACGAAGTTGTCTAAACAGTTGACTACGCCTGACCTTCTCATCAAGGCCACTCCGCAGGCAGCCGTGTGCTACCCCGGGGATGCACAGAATGATGCCAAGTGTCAACAATTGACCTCGAATTGGACAAACTCATACACTCACGTCAATGACCCGACCGAAATTCTTTCGCCAGTATACCAGGGCTTAACGTGCCAACCGCCATCCATATACAACAGCGGAAACTGTACACTAGGAGGGTACCCGGCATACGTTGTCAACGTGAAAAACGTGCTGGATATTCAGGTCGCGATTAACTTTGCACGAAACGATGGAGTGAGACTGGTGGTTAAGAACACAGGTCACGACTTTGCAGGGAAATCCGCGGGTGCTGCAGCATTGAGCATTTGGACTCATGGCTTGAAGGATATACAGTTCTTTGATAGCTATGTCGACGACTCAGGATACAAGGGACCAGCATTCAAAGCAGGTGCTGGGGTACAAGCTTTCGAATTATACAAAGCAGCGAATGACCATGGTGTCGTTGTCGTCGGTGGCGAGGGACAGGTATGTGCATGTTGAAATTCCAGATCACCCTCCTAACCTTTATCCTAGACTGTCGGCATAATGGGCGGCTATATCCAAGGTGGAGGACACTCTCCCCTCAGCTCGATATACGGAATGGCTGCTGACCACGTTCTTGGGGTGGAAATGGTAACGCCGACGGGAGAATTTGTGACAGCAAATTCAAGCAGTAATACAGACCTCTTCTACGCAGTCCGCGGGGGTGGAGGAAGCACATTTGGAGTCGTCACGTCCGTAACCGTTAAGGCATATCCCGATATGCCGGTCTCCGCCGCTACCTGGAATTTGGACAGCTCCAAGATCGGAAAAGATAGGTTCTGGAACGCCGTTCGTGCCTGGGTCGACCGATTCAATGACAACGCAGACGCAGGGATCTACAATTACTTCATCATCGCACCAAACGGCACAACTGTCTCCTTCATTATGCAGCCCTTCTTCGCCCCCAACAAAACCTCCGCCCAAGTTACCGAACTCTTGAAACCTTACTTCTCAAGAATGACGTCCCTTAACGTCCCCTTCTCACCCAAAATCACCTCCTACAAGGGCTTCTACCCAGCATGGCAAGCCGAATTCCCGCTCGAATCCCAATCCGACGTCCAAACAGCCGTTGGTTCGCGGCTCTTCCCTCGCTCCAACTTCGCGTCAGAAGTTGGGCGCAACCTCAGTTTCAGCGCTCTCAAAGACGTCGTTGATGCCGGTCAAAGTATCATTGCATTCAACATGGCACCCACGCTCGCCCGCGGCGGGAACCCAGACAATGCCGTAAACCCTGCTTGGCGCACCTCCGTCCTCCATGCCATTACAGGTCGACGGTGGGACCTCAAGTCTTCTACCACAGACATCCTATCCGTAAGAAAAGCACTTACGAACGGAACGATGCAGAAATGGCGTGATATCACTCCGGGCTCAGGTAGCTATCTAAATGAAGCGGATCGGTTAGAGCCGAATTGGCAACAGAGCTTCTGGGGGGATAAGTATGCAAAGTTGTTGGAGATTAAGAAGAACTGGGACAAGAAAGATGTTTTTTGGGCCGTAAATGCGGTTGGGAGTGAGGGTTGGGTGGTGGAGAGCGTAGATGGCTTGCCGAATGAGAATGGGAGGCTGTGTAAGGTTAATGGGACAGCGACGACAAGTAGTGGGGTAGTGGGGGCGACGCCGGCACCGAAGTTGAGGGCTTTTTAAGGAAGTTGGGTGGAAGAGGTAGAAGGATGGGGTTCATGGAAAGACGGATTTGTAAATATTTTTTTCTGCGTATTGACAGAATGTTTTCTAGTAGAAATACTATGGCCCTACATTTACATTTACTTCGAGGCTGCCCCGCAGTGCCAAAGCCTATGCGACAGAGTCGAGCCACGGTAGCTTCACGCCGACGACAGTATGGGCAGCGTACCCAAGTCCTGATGCGACGGAGCCATTAGCTCGAAGTGGTGTTGTAATCATAACCATTGCAGGCGCCCCAAGCATTAGAGCAGTCGAAGAGAGTACAGCTGTTCCACCAGGCACGTACGAGCCTACTCGCTCAATGGGATGGGCGAAGCGCGAACACACCATGCCAGGCATTGGCTCGACCACGAGGGCCTTGTCTTCCCTTTGAGACGGCGTGAGACTTTTGGATACTTCAAAGGACATACCGATAGCTTTGATCGTCTCCGGCACAAGTTGTATGAGCGATTCCGGGAACGGCGCTCTCAAAACAGGTGATGTCAATGAGGTTGCGTTCTCGAAATTATGTGGTACTCAAGCAACGTCGCATCATCTCGAGTCTTCACTGCATCGATGATTGCAGAGGGCGATTATCTTTTCGTTTGACCGTTGTGATAGATGCTACGGCGCGGCTTGTATGGTCTCTAGCACCCCCTTTGCGTTAAAGTAACACTTGATGGTTATCCTACCACTATTTAGCCTCGTTTACTCATTGGGTTTTCGACTTTGATACACTCTCCTTTCTGTCTTCAAGCTCTTGGCGGCGCTCTCTTCACTGGCGTACACTAGACCAGGTAATTCCTCGCTTGTCAGTGACCAAGGTGGAGAAAACCCCGGCTGGGCGATCGCTGGTCGCACTCGTCATGAGTAGCTTGGCTACACTCACGAGACTCAGACCCTTCTGTACCTCCACCGTGAGTGATTGAGCGGGTATCACGGGAATATTTGCAGGGAACACGAAGGACGCCATCTAAATTGGCGCTAGTGAGGGATGCAAATACACTTCGCCTGTTTGTGTCGTGCTCTTTTAGTTATCCCTCGATGAACTAGACATCCTTAACGTGATGAGAGTATGCATCCACTTGTGTTCCGGAGATGGTTTCTGTGGCCTCGTTTTGGTGTTTCCTGGCAGACAGAGCACAAGCCTATCTTGGTCGCCTCAACACGACAAGCTGGTTGAGCTGCGGGTGTGTCACAAACACTTTTACGGCACTGGTATCGAGAGGCAAACCGATATCGCCGATTGAAGTTACGGAGGCAACACTAAGATACCTCCCGCATGGGCATACAGACTCTTAAAGGTGATAAAGGCATTGGTCAACGGTGTCGGGTGTGACGCACGCGAAACATAGCTTGCGAAGCATAAATACTGAAGGCTAAGGCCCTAGATGATGTAAGTGTAATCTAGCAAGTCAATTGCATCAAGCAATGTAAGGACCATGATGGGCAGCGTCTGTGGCTTCTCTGAATTGAGCAACCGTGGGGTCGCAGGGCGCCAATACGAAGAAAGCATATGAACAGGCATTTTAGCGTGAGGCTCAACGAATCACGGACTCAGTTATCTGAAGGGTAACGTTTGGTGCTCCCCCCATTCTAACACCCCTTGCTAAAATAATCTTCCTAGCGCGTCTAATTGATTGCAGAAAGGCTCTGAGCCTAACAGTCTAGTACCATCTGGTACAAATGGGATGAAAGTAATGGCACGTGATCTGGGCGAATTGGAATGCTTCGATCCTCTACTTATTGCTAGAGAGGGGAGACTGGGCAAAATGTGATAGAGCTGCGATCTTGGGTCGGGCCCGCCGTCTAAGCGGCTCATGACACTCTTGACTCAGAATTCAAGGGGTTCATGATCGAATTCCTAGCACGTGTGTCTTCCATGCAATTCGACAAGTTTCTGCAGCACACAATCCTGTCTGGGCACGGCGGCGCCCTTGGAAACCTGCTCATGCTCCGCCCTTGTAGCATGAACAGGCCGCCCTCTCCCTTCCGCAATTCTAGAAATACTGGCTCTTGATTGGCCCAATCCCACTTTTCTTCAGTGATCGGCTGGGACGCATCCCCGTTCCTGTGTCCCCTTGCACCTAAATTAAACACATGCTAATAATTTCGCACACAGGAATCCTTTGAAGCACTTTGAGCAGCATAATTGGCTTCAGGCTTCTATGCAGAGCTAAACTTGGTGTGAATCTGACCGCAGGCCGCCTGACAAGATACCGAGAATGTCCTTGGCCAACAACATTTGATCCATCAGCTACCCCACCCGCTTTTAAAATCGCTGAATATTCACCAGCTTTTCACATTCCCCTTTCAATATATAAGCTCCTCAATCCCGCCCTTAAAATCGACATCCAACTTCAAAATGTCCTACTCACCACCTAGCTCTGCGAAGCCCTTCACCCTTTCCATCCCCGACCAAGAACTCTCCGAATGGCGCCAACTCCTCCATCTCAGCAAACTTGGTCCTAAAACATTTGAAAACCTCCAGTCCGAACGCTATTTCGGCGTAACCTACAAATGGCTTTCCGAAGCTAAAGACCACTGGCTTAAGAAGTACGACTGGCGCGTCCAAGAGAAGCACATCAACTCGTTCCCTAACTACATGATGATGATAGAGGAAATTGATGTGCATTTCGTCGGGCTGTTTTCCGAGAAAAAGGACGCCATTCCAATCATCTTCATGCACAGTTGGCCTGGGTCCTTCATCGAGTTCCTTCCCATGTGTCAATTAGTGAAGGATAAGTACTCGCCAAGGGACCAACCATACCACATCATCGTACCGTCTTTACCTGGCTACACGCTAAGCTCAGGAGGTCCTCAGGATAAGGATTGGTCGATGCATGACAGCGCACGCATTATGAACCAGCTCATGATCAACCTCGGTTTCAGCAAGTATATTGCTCAAGGAGGAGACGTAGGCAGCTTTGTTGCGAGGATAATGGCCACTTCATATGAACAATGCGTTGGAGTGCATTGTAAGCTCCTCCTTTTCACCAAGCTGTTTTGTGGAAGAAACTAGACTAATAGGCATAGTGAACATGCTTCCCGTCCTCGACCTACCAGACCCCTCCACCCTCGCCGGCACTGAGAAATCCACTCTCGAACGCGTCCTCGAATGGCGCCAAACAAACACCGCCTACGCCCTAGAACAGGGCACGCGACCCAGCACCATCGGCCATGTAGTCTCTTCAAATCCCCTGGCGCTTCTTGCCTGGAGTAAGTAATTACCAATTTATAGTTGTGTGCTAAGTATCAGCTAACTAGATTTTAGTCGGGGAGAAACTTCTGGAGTGGACTGACGAAACACCCGCCATGGATATCATCCTCACAAATATCTCCCTCTACTGGTTTACCCAAAGCTTCCCTCGTAAGGTCCCCCAATCCACCTACAAATACTACAGCTAATCGCTCCTCTCAAAGGCTGCATCTACCTCCACCGCACTATCTTCAATGGTCCCCCGCCCCCCTGGCCCCCTATCAGCAAGCCTACCGGCTTCTCTTTCTTCCGCTACGAGCTCTTCCCACCTATCGAGAGCCTAATAAAGAAAGATTGTAACCTAGTCTTCTCTAAGGAGCACACCAGCGGTGGGCATTTCGGGGCGCTGGAGAAGCCGGTAGAGATGCTGGAGGATGTAGAAGAGTTTGTGAAAATGGTGTGGAAGATGTGAGAGATATCCTTCAGTGAATAGGGGGACGCGAGAAGGAGAGAGGGAGATGTAGATGCAGGAGTGGAGATTATTGAAGGAACTATGCTGAGGGTGGCTGGGACAGAACTTCGGCGAGACTTTAAGTGGATGATGTGGCTTCGATGGATCTCGCAGAGTTCCAACAATACATGTGCACTTGAGATGGATTCCTACTTAGTCATATCGTGCTTCAAATCCCACAGAAGAATATCCTAGGAACTCGCTCCCAACCCTATAATGCACTAGACACGGCTATGCAACGCCTACCGACTCCAAATCATCATCACGCCGATCCAACCAAGCTCCGGTGGTGAAATGATTGCCTTAGAAGTCTAGTTTAAATAATATTAATGCATTCACAAGCTACGGCAAAACTCTCAACTAAGAGGAAAGGAAGAATAGAGTCTGCATGTATTATGGCATTGTCATACTCAATAACAACGTCCCTCCATGCTTAGCGAAACACCCTATGTGGCAAGACAAATGAGGAATATTTAGATTTTCAGCAACTAGAAGACCCCTGCGCCGAATAAATATTGCTATAAAAAATAAAATATAAAAAATAATCTACTCTAGCTAATTCTAAATGTCTAGAATCTTCTTTAAACTAAAAATTATGTTTATATTATTGCCTCTGCCTAATTCATAAAGCGCCTTCTTTTATAATGTAACAAACTTCCCCTCTAACAGCGCCAACGTTAAGCTTTTATCAATCTAAAATTTTCTACAAGGGCCTTACCTACGCCTTATAACCTCTCTTATATGCTAGGACATTATTATCAGCCCTAGGTGCGCTGCGGGGCGCAAATTTATACAAGGTTGCCACCTTAGTTAGTACCTCCAACTGAAGCTATTACTAATCCTAGCTAGTCTAAAAGTGCTACATAATTAGTATAGAGTATAAAGCTATTATAGATTAAGTTAAGTTAAGCTATATTATTATAATCTAACTTATAAACTTTATTAAGCGCACTATAACACTTAAAATAAAAATTTTAATATAACTATAACTATAAAAAAGTCTAATATAAGAACTTTATAGCTAGTTAAAAGTAGTTTACACTTACACAATATACTATTACTAAGTGTAAGATCTATAACTAAAAATAATATTTAATGTTTTAATAAAATAAAGTTTTAAATAAGTATTATATTTACTTATAAAGTTATTATAAGTAAGCTATAGCTTTTTAATGTATTTAGTAACTTTTTTATAAAAGTAAGTTACAACACTTTAAAAATGTAAACAAAGCTTTATATTATACTATAAAGTGTAAAAAAAAAAAAAAAAAAAATTTATATTTAAATAATAAGTAAAATATAAAGAAAATAGACTAGAGTAGCATAGAATTAGCTACTATACTATAAAATTAACAACGCTGCAACTAATACTACTAGTAAGGTTACTAAGTTAAAACTTATAGTATTTATAAAGTGTGACGGCGCGTACCGCGTCACATGCTCTGCGGCCTCAGCTCCCTCGCTTGCGCAACAAGTAGCGCCTTGGCTAAGGGCACACATGTATATTTAAACTCGCAGAGCAGCTCCTCTGCTCCTTAGTTTAATCTAGTTGGGTTACACTACCTCTTGCTTGTAGCTTGAGCATGCTGATTGTAACATAAAGTAAATAGTGCAGATTATATTTTTTTTATTTAATTAATTAATATAGGTGTTATAAAGTAAATGTAATTTATATAACAAGGTAGGCACAGTCAACCACGTGGCCTTCTCTCGCTTAAGAGGTTTAGGCTAGACTAGAGACAACCGCTAGTGCTAGTGCTAGCCCTAGCATTATCTATATATATATTATACTATGCGAGAATACTTAGCTTAAGTATTCTCGTGCGTACCTTTTAGTACAGCGGGGAAAGTTGTATATTATCGGCTTGACAGGCAGGGCGCCTAGCTTATTACAATTTAAGCCTAAAAATGTTGTTAGAGTAGACTGTTCACATGTGTAGACTACTTGCTTGTGAAATACGTTATATTAACATTTACGTTGTTTCTTATTTTTTTTTTAGCTTTTTTAATAATTATCTTCTAGCTAGAAAGCTTTAGGTTTAGATTTAAGTATATTACTATAAAAGCTATAGCTATAGTAATATAACTTTAATAAACTAGCTTTGTTACACACTAAGATTTATAAGTTTTCTAAGCTTTTATTATATAAGTTAAATATATCTAATGTTTTACTAGTTATATAATTATTGTTTATTAAATATAGTAAGCTAGAAAGGTAAAGAAATATACATATAGGTTTAAAACCCTATTACCTACGCTTTCGCTTAGCTACTAGAAGAGTAACTACTTTGTGTAAATAGTAATACTTTAGAAGTTTACTTTTTAACCTTTTTATTTTTAGAAACGTTTTACAATATTTATTAGTATTAGCTACTATAGAACTTTTAAAGGCAGTTTTTAATTAAATTATAAAAAAACAGTTATAATATTAAGTTACTTATTAAAAAAAACTGTTTAATTGTAAACTATCTACTTTATCTAGTTTCTATAAGTCTACTAGGCTTAGCTTAACAAAAGAAGAGAATTCTATACTAGTAGCTATAGCATTTGTAACAGCGTTTTTAATTACCTAGTTATACTTCTTTAAACATAGTTTTTTGTTACTAAAGTTTTCTAAAGTCTAGTTAGTAACATAGAATAGATACTACCTAGTTGCAACTTATATAGTTACTATTGTAGCTTTATTTATAGCTAGTATAAGTTGCTATAAGGTTTTAGATTCTTTTAACTTAGCTAGCATTTAATTTAAATCTTCTAGCTTTTGTTACAGTCTACGGTTGGACCAGCGTAACTCCACCCGCAGTGCTCCACAGTCTAGCTGAGTTGGGGCAAGGCTCGCTTACAGACCAATTGGAGGACACAGAGGCGGCATGATTACCTAAGATTATGGAAGAATGCGTTATCTAATAAGGGGACAGGCCGCGAGTCTAGGGAGCTAGAGGGAGCTTATAGGAGCCCCTTTTAGCAGGCTCCCCTAAGCTTCTACTAACTCCCCTTAGCACTCTAGCACATGTATATAGTTTCTACTTTAAATAACCTTTAAAAGGTGTGTTTAATGTTTAGTTTATTTTCTATATAAACTAAGTAGTATTTAGCTTTTTAAAGAGCTGTAATACTATTTATATATCTTGCACTATATATACCTCTAACCTTGTCTGTTAGGACTGTTTAACCTTAGCCCCTCTACTGCTGCACATAGGGCAAACTATAATCTAGTCGCTCTAAACCATTCTCCATTAGCCTAATAGCCTGTACGTAGGACTGTACACCCTACTAGATTAGCCTCTACTATCTGCCCTACTTCCCCCCTAGGAATATTACTAGACCTAAGTGCTTCTTAAAGTAAAAATTATAACATTAAACACTACCCCCTTTAAAAAGTATAGCTACTTTACAACACAACTTAGATTCTAACATAGCTTATGCTGCGCTATTAAGATTTATAGAAGTTTCTACCTAAAGTAAAGCTGTTCTAGCAGAACAGATTAACTTAATTTAGAACAATATTAAAAAACTCTAATAAATTAGTAATAAGGTTAGTAAGCTTAAAAAACTTAAGCAAGAAATTACTAACTTTTAATAAAAAATAATAAAACTATAGAACTTTTTAAGACTTTTAAGCCTCTAGGAAGCTACTAACTAAGCCTATTAGATACATAAATTATAAGTAGAGCTAGTAAAAATTTAGAACATCTTTATAAAGAAAGTAAGTATTATAGCTAAAAAAACTTTAAGACTAGCTCTTTTAAAGCCTTTTAAAAGATTATTAAAAGACTTTTAACTATTCTTTATAAGATATTACCTCTATATGCAATATAATAAAGAAGCATTTTAGACTAACGTAGAAATAATATCCTAGATAGGACTACACCTAAAAGGCCTCCCTATAATTTAGTTTTAACCTTATGTAGATAACTAGATAAACTTTAAGGTAAATAGTAAAGTACTTATCTCTAAAACTAAAGAAATATTTAGTAGCATTAAAAACTTTAAAGAAGCCCTAATAGCTATTTATAAGACTTTAGATAAAAAGAAAACTGCAGCTAATAAGCTAGACACTATAAGACAAGAAAACAACCTAGTTTAGAATTACGCAGCACGCTTTAGAAAATAACTAGCTATTTGCAGATAGATAGACTAAAAAGCCCTCTGCTGCATGTTCTATAACAGGCTAAGTAAAATAGTAAAGAATAAGTTTATGCATAATAATAAGCTAACTACTTTTAAAAATTACATTACATAAGTAATAACCTATAACAACTGCTATAAGAAGTGTAAAAGAGAAAAGAAATAAAAAGGAACTTTTTAAAAACTAGAATTTATTTCTAAGAAAAAAAAGCTTTTATAATATAATAAAGAACTAATAGACCTTAGTTATGTAAAGCATATATAAAGCCCCTCTTTTAAGAAAAGCTAAGTTCTAGGACATAATAGGCTACCTTTAATAAAGGAATAACAAAAGTAGCTAGAAAACAAAGCCTGCCTACACTATAGAAAAGTAGGACATTTCTGCTAAAATTACCTAGACTTCTAGAAGGGGGAGAATAAAAATACTACTGTAATAATAAAAGCTATTACTGCTAAATACAGCCTTATAGATAAGGAAATATTAAAAAGATTAAAAAATAGACTTTACTAGTAATATAAAAGTAACTATTCTTTAAATAACTGTTTTAAAGTGTACTAAAAAGTAGTTATTTAAAATTTTAGTAGCTTTAATATAGTGTTGTAAGACCTTGTAATTCTTAAAAGATATAAAAAAGAAACTTAGATCTAAAGATATATTATAAATATCTATAAAAAAGAAAAACAGTTCCCCCTTTAAGACTAAACCCTTAGCACTTTAGTAAAAGAGCTCTTTTAATAGTTTTAGAAATGTAAATGCTAGAAATGTAGTTTACAGCATAACTACTTAAGTTATTGCATAGTTATGCTTTACTAGATAAATATTAGCAACAACTACTTTACATTTAACATTATACAACGCATAGCTAAAGTTAAATACAACATTATAAATAAAAAAAAATAATAGTAGTTTTTTATAAAGGTCTAAAACTAGAAACTAGAAGGACTAGGTAGACCTGCTAGGTTTAAAGTCCCTAAGCTAGTACCTAGAAAACCTAAGATACTGCTTCTAAGCCTTGCAGTTAGCTAGAAGGCCTTAGCAATGCAATAAAGCTATAGTTAG